AGCAGGCTCTTATTTATCCCGCATCATCCTACTCTCAGAATTTAATCATGTACATTGAGATACCCTATCTCCCAAGAAGAAAAAAATCTTCCTTTTTAGGAAAAAGTAAGAGAAAAGAACTTGGGCTTACAGGATTGATTTTTTGGTAGTATAGGAAAGGATAAAGCCTTTGAACAATTCCACATCAATAATTTTAGCCCTAATGTAATGGTAGCATCATATTATAAACAAGCCAAATTTCCAAAATTAGGAGATATGTTAAATTTTGGTCTGGTCATACATTGGAACACCTTGCAGCCTTTAAAAATGATGATATAAATTTATAAGATGTAATTCAAGTACAAAGTAGTCAAATATAAAGCACACATTTTAAACATGAAAGAACTCAGGGAAAAATACCCATGAATACTTTCTGAAAATAAAATTGACAGGGGAATCCGGACAACAGAAATAAATCAAAATAAAGAATTCAAGGATGGAGGGGGAAATGGTAGTTAACAGCATTCAAATATAGGAAAAATATACTTAAAAATTGCATGAATACTAAGCAACATATAAATATTCTACCTTGTCGGTGTAAAAGTAATAATACACCTCAGATAAATTGGGGGATTGAGGGAGAAAAGTGGAAGGAATTTTAAAAGTGCTCACGTCCTCCTCTTCTACAGCAGGGAGTTACCTGACACTTTCTATATTTGAAATAAGCAGTTTTAAAACACACACAATAACTACAACCTCTTAATGTTTTTCTCATGATCTTTTCTGAATTTAAAAAAATAACCTCTCTCATGGCCAGAGAACACTTGAGATTCCACAATGTCTTCATTTGAAATTAATCTTTTTTTTTTATGCTACATTCAAGTACAATTAAATTAATCCTTTTTATTTATAAAAAGATGGTTTTTGTGATTTTATTTTGATAGGATAGTCTCTTTGTTCATTCATTTAATGTTTATTGGGCTCCTGCTAGGTCCTGAGCACAGGTCTAGGTGCTGAAATGCAGCTGTGGGCAACACAGGCAGACCCCCGCCCCGTGGAGGACAGTCTAGAGGTGCTCCTTCCATGATTTCTTTCTTTTTCCTTCCTTCCCTTTCCCCCTTCCTCCTTTCTTATTAACTCCCCCTCCTTCTATCCATTTATCCTCTCACGCATGGGTACACAGACGTCCAGAATGGTAGTTCTCTAACAGCAACAACTGTTATTTCAGGAGGTAGGATTTGAGATGATTTTTTTAAACTTTCTTTAAGTGATTTTTTAATCATGGTTCATCCAAAGGGCTATTACAAGCAAACCAATTTTTTACAAAGCAATTGGAAAGTGAGATGGTGAAAAGACAAGGTGTAAAACACTCTTTAAAAAATATTTATTTTTATGTGTAATTGTGAAATATTTCAGAGAAAAATACAGGAAAATAAACAGCCATATATCCAATAACAAGATTTAACAGATATTAACATTTTGTCACATTTGCTTCAGATTTTTTTGTGTGTGTGTGAGGAAGATCAGCCCTGAGCTAACATCTGCCAATCCTCCTCTCTTTGCTGAGGAAGACTGGCCCTGGGCTAACATCCATGTCCATCTTCTTCCACTTTATATGGGACACGCCACAGCATGGCTTGCCAAGCGGTGCGTCGGTGCGCGCCTGGGATCCGAACTGGTGAACCCCAGGCCGCCGCAGCGGAGCACGCACAGTTAACCACTTGTGCTACCTGGCTGGCCCCTAGATTTTTTTTTTTTTTTTCAGGGAACAATGCGCCCTGAGCTAACATCTGTTGCCAGTCTTCCTCTATTTTGTATGTGAGCTGCTGCCACAGCATGGCCTCCTACGAGTGGTGTAGGTCCACTCCTGGGAACCAAACCCAGGCCGCCAAAGTGGAGTACACCAAACTTAACCACTAGGCCACTGGGGCTGGCCCAAGAAACCCCAGTTTTTATGATTCGCTCCCTATCAAGGGGTCTGTGGGTTCAACAATCCTATTCCTCTTTTGTAATATGTTTTTCCATTCCACAAATGCAGAAACATTTACCTATGTAGTTCTTCAAAAGCTCTCTCAGTAGCCTCAAGCTTTCTCAGATAATAATTGTTTGGGGCAAATGTCCATGCAATTTCTCCACACGACTCACACTTTTTACTACCTGATAAAAATGAACTATAAAATGTTGTATTAACTTCTCTTCAAAAATAGCACTAAATGTGAAGAAGCAGATGTAATATTTATGGCACCTCCAGTCCTAAGAGTCACTTCTAATCCATTACAAACAATTTCTTTTTACCTACTTACTGAATTTTAGACAAGACCTAATACACTCACGGTTCCTGCCAATTGCTTAAGAAACTCAAGTCTCCTTATGGGTGACGGGATGAGCGCTGGGTAAGGCGTGCCCCGGGGACTCCTGCTGAGTTGGGCTGGAAGCCGTGAGAGATGCTGCACTAGCAGGAGGACACCTGGGCTGCTGCAGCACCACACGTTCACCTAGAGACGAAGAAACAACAAGGAAACGCGGGGGATAATCCCCTGGAGATGAGGCAGCTACAAAGTAGACACAGAATAGTCTGGAATACTAATGATAAGGTCACTCTGCAGAGGCACTGAAGCCTAGGCCTGGCACAGACGGGTGTGGTGGGGAAGGGGAAAGACCAGCACCTTCATTCCAAAATTGGACCCTACAGAATCCTAGCTCACCAAATTCTTGAGTATCAGTCTGTTCTGGAATTGATTAAAATGAAGTGTTTAAAAATATAGAAGTTGATCTGACCTTATATACTTTTTAAAATTCATTCATATTTTTCCCTTTGATACTCTTAATACTCTTGTGGCTTAAGTAGTGCAGGTATTGTTATTTTAATTTCATAGATAAAGAAAATAAATAAAAAGAGGGTGGCACATAAAAATCTATGAGAGAGCCAGCACCTGACTCTACTTGACTTCAGAGTACTTTTATTCTGTTAGAGTCAACAATGAAAGAACATCGATTACAAAAAACTAGATTTGTTTGTGAATAAGATTTGAGTGACTTTAAAATTAAATTTATCAGCTTCATGGAAAAATTAACTTCTTTACTTTAGAGGTATTCCTTGTGAGATGTGTTTTTTGTCTTTTTACCAAACTAGCTTTATTCGGGGTGACTTAAATTTATTCTATTAAAACTACTCTAATGCCTTTTGTTTGTTTCCAAAAATTAAATCCATACTCAGAAGGTATGTAATTTGACTAACTTTTTTTGTCATAATTTCTGAATGCCAGAAAGTAAAAATAGTCAAAAGAGAGATGGCATACATTTCACAGACTAAGGCTAAGATCTTTAATATAAAAAATATAAATAATTCAATGGAAAAAATGGAGAAAGGTCATTAACTGTTAGTTCAAACAAAAGGAAATACAAATTGCTTTTAGACATACAAAAAGATGTCCACAATTAGAGAAATGAAAATTAACACTGAGTTTCTATTTTCACAAGTCAGATTGGTAAAAATCCTCAAGTTTGATAATTAAACTTTGTTTAAGAGGGCGTGGGGAAACAGGCGCGCTCGTATATTAAGTGAGAGAATATATTGTCAAGATAGCAACACTACCAAAAATATTCATGCACTTTCACATATTTCCAAGAATTTACCCTAGAGAAAAATTCTCACTTTTGCAAAATAACATGCATACTAAAATATTCTCTGCAACATGGACTATTACAGCAAAATCCTGGAAACAACCTAAATATCTCTTGATGGGAGATTAATTCAATATATTATGGTTCATTCATACAATGAAATGAGGAAGCTCTTTATGTACTAATAAAAAGAATAGTCAGAAAGATATATTGATTTCATCGTTTCTTATGGCTGAGTAGTATTCCATTGTGTATATATACCACAGCTTTTTTATCCATTCGTCCCTTGATGGGCACTTAGGTTGCTTCCAAGTCTTGGCTATCGTGAATAAGGCTGCAATGAACACAGGGGTGCATGTACGTTTGCAAATTGGTGTTTTCAAGTTCTTTGGATAAATACCCAACAGTGGAATAGCTGGATCATATGGTAGTTCTATCGTTGATTTTTTGAGGAATCTCCATACTGTTTTCCATAGTGGCTGCACCAGTTTGCACTCCCACCAGCAGTGTATGAGAGTTCCCTTCTCTCCACAACCTCTCCAACACATGTTGTTTCCTGTCTTGTTAATTATAGCCATTCTGACAGGCGTGAGGTGATATCTCATGGATGGACATTGAGGGCATGATGCAAAGTGAAATAAGTCAGAGGGAGAAGGTCAAATACCGTATGATTTCCTTCATTAAGTAGTAGATAATAACAACAATAAACAAACACATAGGGACAGAGATTGGATTGGTGGTTACCAGAGGGGAAGGGGGGAGGGAGGAGGGTGAAAGGGATATTTGGGTACATGTGTGTGGTGATGGGTTGTAATTAGTATTTTGGTGGTGAACATGATGTAATCTATGCAGAAATAGAAGTACAATGATGTACACCTGAAATTTTTACAATGTTATAAACCAATGTTACTGCAATAAACAAAAAATTTAAAAAAAAAAAAAAAAAAAAAAAAAAAAAAAAAAAAAAAAAAAAAAGAAAGATATATTGATAAGTGAAAAAAGCGAAGTGCAGAAAAGTTTATATAGTCTCTCACCACTTATGTCAAAAATACACACACATCCTACAACTCAACATCAAAGAAATAAACAATCCAATTTAAAAATGGGCAAAGGACATGAATAGATATTTCCCCAAAGAAGATGTTCAAATGGCCAATAAGTACCTGAAAATATGCTCAACACCAGTAGTCACTAGGGTAATGCAAATCAAAACCACTTTACACCCATTAGGATGGGTGTTTAAAAAAACAAAAAACAGAAAATAACAAGTATTGACAAAGATGTGGAGAAATTGGGGGCTTTGGGCTTTGCTGGTAGGAATGTAAAATGGTGCAGTTGCTGTGGAAAACAGTACAGTCGTTTCTCAAAAAATTAAACACAGACCTACCACATGATCTAGCAATGCCACTTCTGGGTATACACCCAAAAGAACTAAAAGCAGGGACTTAAACACATATTTGCACACCAGTGTTCATAGCAACGTTATTCAAATAGCCAAAATGTAGAAACAACACAAATGTCCATGGACAGATGGATGGACAAACATAATATGGTATATACACACACAGTGGAATATTATTCAGCCTTAAAAAGAAATGAAATTCTGGATGAACCTCGAAGATATTATGCTACGTGAAATAAGCCAGACACAAGAGGACAAATAATGTATGATTCCACTTATATGAGGTACCTAGAGTAGTCAAACTTATAGAGAGAGAAAGTGGAATGGTGGCTGCCAGGAACTAGGGAGAGGGGGAATGGGGAGTTATTGTTTAAAGGGTACAGAGTTTCAGTTTAGGAAGATGAAAAAGTTCTGGAGATGGATGACAGTAATGTGAATGTACTTCATGCCACTGAGCCAAATACTTAAAAATGGTTAAAATGTTAATTTTTATGTTATCTATATTTACCACAATAAAAGGTACGGGCACATACACTTGTATTTGTATGGACTGTCTCTGGAAGAGCCAGAGAAAATGATAACAAATCTTGCCTTTAGAAAGGGGAGCTGGGGAGCCAGAGCTAGAGGTGAAGAGATTTACCTATCACTGTATATTCTTTGGACCTTTAGAGTTTTATCTCGTGTGTATATATTATCTATTCAAAAACTTATATTTCAATCAATCTCACTGATTGAAATCTGAACACGAAGCGGGCAAATGTATACATGTCAAAGTACATTATGTTCTATATTTTGTATGAGGCAAAATGAAAGTGCCTCTAATTAATGATATTGAAACCCTGCTTCAATGCTTTTCAAGATGCCAACTTTCAAAAACCATTTGACAAGGAAAATGAACTGTTTCAGGTCTTAAAAGATCAAAACAGAACTCCTAGACATAAGTAAAACGTTCTTATGAGAGTTTTGTTAGGTACAATATAACATTCCTAATCCAGATTAAACGGAGGAAAAACAGGTCTAAATTATTTACTTCAAGAATATAAAGTGGAATAATAATAATAATGCCTAATGTTGTTCTAAGCTTTAAATACCAAGCTGATTTGTTCCACACTGATGTTGTTCTAAGAGCTTTAGAAATATCCACTGATAATGGTGGTTCTCAAACTCTTCGGTCTTAGAACCCTTTTTACTCTCTTAAAAATTATTGAGACCCTCAAAGAGCTTTTGTTTATGTGAGTTATATTTGTCTATATTTACCATATTAGAAATCAAACCTCAAACTTTAAAAATATTGATTTCTTAATTCATTTAGAAGTAACAAGAATTAAACCCATTGTATGTTTACATAAATAACATAATTTTATGAAAAAAACTATTTTATAAAACAAAAAACAAATTTAATTAGAAGAATGGCACTGTCTTACATGTTTACAAATCTCCTTAATGTCTGGCTTAACAGAAGACAGCGGGATTCTCACATCTGGTTCTGCATTCAATCTGTTGCAATATCACTCATCGTGTTGCTTCTGAAAAACTCCAATAGAGACTTGTGAAAAAATGAGAATAGCAAATACTGTCTTAGATTTATTATGAAAATGGTTTTGACTTCCCAGACCCCTGAAAAGGTCCTGGAACACACAAGGGTCTCCAAACCACTGTGAGGACCACTTACTTACACCAGTTCTAGGAGGCGAGAGTGACCATGGAGGCAGAGAAAGAACAAGTAAGTTACTCAATCACAGGGCAGGAGGAAAGCAGCAGGGGCCCATTTCACAATGTTTTATGTAGTGACGAAAACCTACCGGCTGCCTGGCGGTCACAACACCAGATCCGCCCCCCCCACCCCATCTCCTGTGTTACAATTTCAAGTTAAGCCTTTCAATCCACGCAAAGCAGAGGTAAGGAGAGGGGAGAGCAGCCATCACTCATCTCTAAGGGGCCAGATCTGCCCTACAGGGAAATGGCACCTCATGTCCACTGAGGAGTAAAGCCCGGGGGGGATGAACAGCCAGACGCCCTGGACGCCTCTCGAGGAACAGCTTTCTCTTCCTTGCCCAAACCGAGCCGTCATATGTCTGTCTGGAACTCTCACTCCATTCAGACCCTTCTTTACGTACCATTTACAGAGAATGCTGAACACTGCTTTCAATTCTCTTTTTTCCAGTTTTATTGAGAAATAATTGACATACGTCACTGTATAAGTTTAAGGCATACAGCATGGTGGTTTGATTTCATATACTGTGAAATGATTATCACAATAGGTTCAGCTCACATCCATCATCTCATATAGATCCAATAAAAAGAAAACAAAGAAGAAAAGAAAAAAAATTCTTATGATGAGAACTCTTAGGATTTACTCTCCTAACAACATTAACACTTTCCTATATACCATCTGGCAGTGTTAGCCACAGTCGTCATGTTGTACATTACAACATGACTTATTTATCTTATAACTGTTATGCATATTTCACCACAATAAAAAAATAACAGCATCTTCCTCATAAGTTTGGTTAATGATTAGATTAGTTAAAATTTGTAAAGAATTTAGATCAATGCTTGATCCATATTAAGGGCTATATATGTGTTAGATACCAATTATTATGGCTGAATCTGGGCATAAATGAGGTTCTGTTTCAAACTATACCATCACAGGATCAAGACTGTTCAAACAGATGAGCCTAGACTTGAATGAACTCTTATGGAGGAAAACAATTTATTTAAAACCTTCAAATAGTCTATTATTTAAATAGATTAAAACAAGGCAAGGTTGGCTTTTTCTAAAAACGAAATCACTCTGACAGACTCCAGCAGTCATATTGCTGGCTGACAACACCACATGAGAGAAAGCCCAGGGCTCGAGAAGACAATAGTTAGCACCTATTGGACAGGCTGCCCTATGGCATTTCAGAGCTAGTGCAAAGAACAGATCTTGAATAGAGTAGACAGCACAGGAAACAAACACACTTCATCCTAATTCAAATGCATCGTTAGTTATAAAATTAAAGGGCACAGATATTTTAGACAATAAAATGGGCTGAACAATTCTAATACGCCTTCTGAACACTATTATCCAAGGTTCCAGGTGGTTAAGACAACAGCAACCAGACCAAACTAAAGCATCACTTTCCCTTTTCTGTCCTTTTAGGGTTGGTGATTTTTCTTTTTTAAGTATCCCTGACTTCTTTTATTTAAGTAGATTTCTCATCTTAAAAATAAAAAAGTGAGATTGACTGTGTACATTCTTGCCAAAATATAAGACCTGGTCTCATCATATTTGGCTAAAATACCATGGTAACGTATCAGAAAGCTATATTAACCTGTTAACAGCCTAATGAAAGCTTTAGAACGTTTTGATGTTGACAGAAAAAAAAAGGGAACTATTCAAATTAAATGAAAGTATAACAATATGTCTTTGCAAAAATGGATGTAGGTGGGGGCCGGCCCAGTGGCTTAGCGGTTAAGTGCGCGGGCTCTGCTGCTGGCGGCCCAGGTTCGGATCCTGGGCGCGCACTGACGCACCGCCTCTCTGGCCATGCTGAGGCCGCGTCCCACATACAGCAACTAGCAGGATGTGCAGCTATGACATACACCTATCTACTGGGGCTTTGGGGGAAAAATAAATAAATAAAATCTTTAAAAAAAAAAAAATGGATGTAGGTGTTCTCAAAACGTATTTGTCAAATTACACCACTCAAATCAACATTTCAAAACAATTGAAATAATGCCTCTGACTTTAAAATATTTCAAAAAAAATCTAGAAAAAAATCTTGAGGATTACTAGAATATAACAAATGAGATACTTGAGGAAATGATTATATTTTAAGAAACTCATTTTTTACGTATAGGTTTATTAGAATGAAATGTAATGTGATCAAATGTGCTATCACTAATTTTTAAAAATATTTTGGTTGGGGCTGGCCCAGTGGCATAGTGCTTAATTTGCACACTGCACTTCAGTGACCTGGGGTTTGTGGGTTCAGATCCAGGGCGTGGACCTACATACCGCTCATCAAGCCGTGCTGTGGCAGCATCCCACATACAAAGTAGAGGAAGATTGGCACAAATGTTAGCTCAGGGACAATCTTCCTCAAGCAAAAAGAGGAAGATTGGCAACAGATGTTAGATCAGGGACAATCTTCCTCACACACACACAAAAGAATTTGGTAATCAGAGCCAGCCCTGATGGCCTAGTGGTTAAAGTTCAGCACTCTCACCATTTCAGTGGCCCGGGTTCACTTCCCAGTTGCAGAACCACAGTTGCCAACATGGCTGTCAGTTGCCATGCTGTGGCAGCAGCTCACATAGAAGAACAAGAAGGACTTACAACTAGGATATACAACCATGCACTGGGACTTTGGGGAGGAAAAGAAAAAATATATATATTTTATAACCAAAGTGCTTCTCTCTGTATATTTGTGTACATGTAACATTATTCTAAGCTGGTACTAACTGTAGTCCACTATGTCTTCATTAGTTACTAACATACCACAGATTAAGATTTTATACAAATTTTGAGAAACTTCCATGTAGTGCTTGGCTGATGACATATTTAGGTTAGTAGAAAAAAAAAAAATCAAGAATCTAGGGTTGAAAGAGAATTTAGATGTCACTTAGCCCTCTCAACTAATGGAAGAATCCCCTCTGAAACATGCTCATGCCATCATGGATCAGGGTTTGGTTTATTGTTCTCTGCTGTAAAGACAAATCATTTGTTTTTGTTTTGCTTTTAAGAAGCATTGCATTGACTGTGGCCATCACTAATGAAAAATGTGTTTACTGAGGTCTTGAAAAAAGCAAAGATCCATACTCAGTCCCCCTTCACAAGGTACAAAGTCTTATTTAAACTTAACTCTTCATTAGTCACGTCAATAGAAATGTAAATAAATTCATAATCCATAAATGTGCTCTGAAAATAATCAATTTCTTGCTACAGAACGTGTTTAGACTATAACCTTAACATATATGAGAAAATGGATGGTTGATAATCTAATTAACTCTGTCTATGTATTTCATGGTTACATCTAATTCAATATCAGAAATGTTATCTCAAAAATTAAATAAAGCTAAAATAAATACGTAAGTTCTCAGTAAGGTATATGCAATTTTGCCAATCTTGGGGGAAAATATTAGCAATAATATATTTAATTTCACAGAAATGTCATGTTCACCAGGAGTTCTAGAAAATGTTACTTTTTATAGAGTGTCCATTTAGCAAAAAATGGAATGACCGTATGTGGAAATAAGCACTTTTGCAAGCTGATCAGATGGTGAAGCAAGACCAGAAGCACATTTTTATAACAGAACCCCTGCAATACATGCCTCATTTCAGACTATCTTGTATATTGTAAAATATATTTTGTTAAATTGTAATATACATTTTACATATTAAAAATATTAATATTAAATATTTTGAAAATATACATTTAAGAATATACTAACATAGATTGTATACTGACTTATTTTGATAAAATAAGAATCACAGAAGCATTTTTTTAAGTGTGTTAAGAAACAGGAACACTTTTCAATTATTTTGTACCCTCTATTCCCCATGCATTCTTATGGGTGTTTATTAGATACTATCTCTTAAGTGTGCTTTTAAAAATGACATCCTTTATATTAACTTGATCAATTGTTTTCTCTTCCCTAAAAAATAACTCAAAATAAGAAAAAGCAAAAGTGTACTACAATGCAGTTTCAGACAAGAAACTAAAAAGCATGAGGAAAATTTCAAGTTTTTGCTCCTTAACTTCTTTATAATGAACTATATCTGGAAGAGAGAGTGCAAGGTGGGAACAGGCTCTATATCACGGAGGATATTTTTTGTAAGACACACTAAAGGACTCTGGATTTTATCCTAAGGGCAACAGATATCAAGTGAAGATTTCTAATGCAGGGAGTATCTGGCCAGATTTATAATCAGGGAAGATCACTCTTGCGGCTACGAGGTTAACTGGAGGCAAAGAGATCTTTAGGAGATTCACAGTGATTCAGACAAGAGGCAACTAATGACCCCACTGCACCCTATGCTTCCCCAATACACTGTAATTCTTGGCTGCTCCCCTCCCCACCCCCATTAGACTGTAAATTCAGTAAGGTCAGAGGCCTCATCTGTTCTCATCACTGTTGTATCACATAGCGAGTACTTAGTGCTCAAAACAATTTATTACATGAATGATTAAATGATAAATAAATGAATAAACCACATAGACGCTAAACTTAATGCAGATACCCAATAAGCACTGCGCTATAGCTCAGGCAAGCTTCCAGCCTTGCCCTCCCAAGCGCCTGTAACTACAGACACACACCACCATATGCAGCCACATTGGAGAATTTAATACAGCAATTACCTAATTCTTGAGTGGACAAAATGAAGATGATGATGAGGAAGAAATAGTAGTTCAGATAACTTCAGATGGTGTTACCAGAATAAGTTAGTTACCAACTGGACCCTTGGAGTGAGAGGGGTAACAGAGAGGCCATGTTTGTTTCAGTCATTAGCTCATTCATTCATTCACTCAGTTAACAAATATTGGTTATTTGTTAACAAATGCCCACTATACACTAGGCACTGTGTTCTTCAAAAATTTATAAATAATGTGCTCCAGGGGCCAGCCCAGTGACGTGGTGGTTAAAACCATGAGCTCTGCTTCGGCGGTCCAGGATTCATGGGTTCGGATCCCGGGCACAGACATACACATCGCTCATCAAGCCATGCTGTGGCAGCGTCCCACATATAAAATAGAGGAAGATTGCACAGATGTTAGCTCAGGGACAATCTTCCTCAAGAAAAAGAGGAAGATTGGCAATGGACCTTAGCTCAGGGCCAATTTTCCTCACCAAATAAATAAATAAATGTTTTTTAAAAAGATTTCCTTCTTTTAAAAAAAGAAAAATAAAAAATAATGTGGTCCATGGGGCCGGCCTCGTGGCTTAGCAATTAAGTTCATGCATTCCACTTCAGTGGCCCAGGGTTCAGCGGTTCAGATCCGGGGTGTGGACCTACTCACCTCTCATCAAGCCATGCTGTGGCGGCATCCCACATAGAAGAACTACAACTCTATAACTATGACACACAAATATTTACTGGGGCTTTGGGGAGAAAAAAGAAAAAGAGGAAGATTGGCAACAGATGTTAGCACAGGGCCAATCTTCCTCAAAAAAGTAAAGAAATAAAAAATAATGTGGTCTGTATGCTCTGGACACACTGTTCAGATCCCAGCTTTGCCAGGAGGTACGTGATCTTGTGCAAGTCACTTAGGGACTCTGTGCCCTAGTCCTCAGTTTGTAAAATGGAGCTAACGATAGTTACCTATCCCATAGGGCCATTGTGGGCATTAAATGTTATACGTGAAGTGCCTGGCAGATAGTAAGCACTCAAAAACATAAGCTATTTTTATTGTGCTAACTTGGGAATTTGTAACTGGGAGATCACCTTTACTTTGTATCCTAAAATGCAAAAGATGGGAATATTAGCCTTATTTCCAGGAAGGGTAGGGGGAATAGGTTTGAACAAACAAATTTTATGCGTGTGCTATATGCCAGACACAAGATTAAATGTTTTATGTACATGATTTTATTTAGAAGCTAGAGTTCTGGAGTCAGACAAAAGTGGCTTGAATCCCCAAGCTCTTACCAGCTTCAGCAAATTACCAAATCTCCCTAAGGCTCAGTTTCCTCATCTATAAAGCGGGGATGATGATGATGGATGATGATAACAATAATAATAATAATAACAGCTACCGTGCAAGGTTGCTGTGAGGATTAAAGAGAACAGCGCCTGTAGAGACCCTGGCACACAGCAGTGCTCGTTAGATGTGAGCTGCTCGTATTATTTCCCACAAAAATCATCTGGCATAGGCACTAACATCCTTATCTAATAGAAGACGTTACTGAGGTTTAAAACTTTAAATAAGTGACTTGAGGACAAATATCTAGGAAATGGGAAACTGAAGATTCAAGCCCAAGTCTGCATGGCTCCAAAGATTCTATTCTTTTAGCTACACTATTCTGCTTGTCATTGCTTTTAAAAAAATTGCTTAGATTATAAATAAATATTATCATATAATAGAGTTGGCATTTAAGATTGATATACCCGTAATTCTTCATAATAAGAAATTTTGAATCTTTGGAATGTTTATATTTATAAGTTTTATAATACTTGTATATAGTTGTAAAAAAAGACACAAAGAATTGTATAATTTTATATTAATATACAGCAAATAATGAAATAGGACTCAGGGGTCCTAAGTTTTTGTTTCCTACTGAGGATAATTACTCCAATTATGGCCAGTTTATAGCTTATTTTTAATATGTTCTCAACATAGAGTCTTAAAAATTATAGATCATACAGTGATATTACAGTAGGGGTCCTAACCAGACATGAAGGTTTGCAAGCAGTCTTTTTTTATTATATTTCTGTTTGTCCTGCTTCAGGGAACATTTCATAACAACAACAAAAGCAAGCAAACAAACAGAAAACTGTAAAAACCTGACCCCAAACAGAATTAGGTTGATTTTCATTCTTTATAGAGACAACTTAGTGGGGAATAAAGCAATAGTGAGAAAAACAGAATGAACAGAAAAACTAAAATGAGGAAAATATAGCTTGAATAGAAAACATATAGAAAATGGGAGGAGTACATAAAATACGTAAAACAAACTGAGTGCTTTTTGATTTTAGTAAATGCAACCTTATGAGAGGTTCTCACGTGATTATGATGCAAACCCAAAGTCAAATTGAATCCTCGTGTAATTTTAAGTTCTCATAGGTCATGATAAACTGAACTCCTGGGGCCACTCAGTGGTATAGTGGTTAAGTTTGCACACTCCGCTTCAGCCGCCCAGGGTTCCCGCGTTCGGACCCCGGGCACGGACCTAAATACCACTCATCAAGCCATGCTGTGGCGGCGTCCCATATAAAGTGGAGGAAGATGGGCACAGATGTTACCTCAGGGCCAGTCTCCCTCAGTGAAAAGAAAAGAAACCTAAACTCCTCATGATATACTTGTCATTCCTTTAGCAGAAAAATTTGTTTCCAGGATATAAACTACAAACATGTAAATTATTATAAAAGCATTTCACAAATTTAATGCATTAATTATGCACTCTCAGAGTCTTAACACCTCATGTTGTGGACTCCCAAGTCTATTGGTCAGGGTTTAAGCCCTTCCTCACCCAAGTGACAGTCCTAAATTTCTACTACATGTCTCACCTCCTCAACCAAACCTATCCAAAATTAAACTAATTTTCCATCAGACTCTTCATCCATCTGCAGGGGGAGGGTCCTCTGAATTATAATTGCCTGTGAGCCATCTGCTCATGCCACCAGCTCTAAAAGAGACTAGTCCATTAATACTCTGTCAACCTATTTCTCCACCACTGGCCAATTCTCTCCATTCCTTTAGATCCCTTTCTTAGGTCCCACGTATTATCATTTCAAACCAAAATCTGAGAAAGGATTATGATTGCAAATAACATTCAAAAAATATTTATTGAATGAAAGATGACCTTGGAGAAGACAGGGTAATGGGCTGAAAGCTGGACTGTTAGGGGTGAGGCATTAATGAAGAAAATGGGAAGTGATATTTCTTGAACTGATTGAAACTTGGCATTAAGTATAACTTGCTTTTAAGAATTTAGCAAGGGAAACGAGGAAACTAACACAATTGAAAAGTTGGTAGGACCAAGAGAAAAAATCTTTAGAGATTTGAGAATGTTTGTGGACAAAAGGGAAGAAATCAGTCAAGACAGAAATCTGAAGATATAAGTTCTCGTTGCCTGCAGTCTGGTACCTCAACTTCATCCTTCACATTGTTGTCAAAGTGGAGTACATAAGATGCATATCTGATTACCTCACTTTCCAGCTTAAAACCCTTCAGAAACTCCCCATCATCTGCAGGACAAAGTCAAAGACCCTTAGCAGTCCTCAGGAAAGTCTCCCTGATCTGGTCACTGGTCCTGCCTTGCTCTTGGGTGCAGTGACTCCCAAGAGTGAGACCACCAGTACCAGGCCAGTTGTACGGGAATCACCCAAGAGCTTGTTAAAAATTTGTGTCTACAAGCTCTACCCCTGGAAATTCTGATTCAGTATCCTGTGTAGGGCCAGGAATCTGTATTTTTACAAATTACCTCAGGGGATTTGATGAGCAGCAGTTTGGGAACAACTACCTTAGTATAACAGGGTAGTTTTAAAAAACACCAGGCTTTGCAGCCAGAAAGAACCCCAAACAAATCCCTGCTCTAACCTTTATGAGTTAAGTGTCCTTGGGCAAGTTATTTAGTTTCCCTAAGGACTGAAGATATTTTTCATTGCTAAAATGGGAATAATACCTTACTCACAGAACATCGTTAAGTATTAAATGAGAAAATGTGTATAAAATACTTAACATATGTACGTAAACATATGCTAAGTATGTATGTGTCGGGGGAAGAGGGAGAATCTCCCTCTGCCCTTTTCCTTAAGGTTCTTATGGCTGGCCAAATAATTAACAAGACAGGTTAGCAGGAGAAAATGATACCAAGTTTAATAACATGTATACATGGGAGAAACTCAGAAATGAGCAACTCGTCCCTCTGTCTAAGCTGCTTGCTTAAGTATTGCAGCTAAAGGCGAGGAGCATGTTGGGGGTGGGTAGTGGCCTGGGACTTCAGAGGGCAGGAAGACAATTCTTTTCAGGGTCACCTATAGATAATGTGGTCAGGGAGAGACAGAGATTTTGATAAAAGAGGCTTGGTGCCTTTCCTATTGTAACCTCTATCCTACATTATCTTTACAGCCATCATGATAGAAGATCTGTTCCAGGAAGGAGCCACCATGTCAAATTCTTTAGGCAGTTAGTGGGGGAGGTCAAATGTCCCTCAGAGAAAACAATCAAGGTAAAGAGATATATTTCAGGGTGGCCAAATCTTGATCTCCCACATATGTAAACACTCAATAGATGCTAGTTGTTAGTAAAGCTATTTAACACCTAACTGCTCAAACCATCCAGCTCCTCCCCGTTCCCTACCTGTGTTCATGCTCTTCTCTCTGCCTGGTCTCCCCTCACTTTTCCCTGCTGACTCCTAAACCTCGAAGATGCTGCTCCTGCAATTTACCCTACCAAGCTGCCACCCACACACCATCTTCCTTCTCTCATCCTCTAGGCTGAGCCAAGAACCTGTCCTCTGTGATTCCACAGCACCCTCTGCCTACCTCTCTTCATCCATGCAATAATATTTATTAAGCACCTACTAGGTACTAGACACTGGAGACACAGTGGAGAACCAAACAAATGTGCTGATGTGCTAATGGAAAATCAGATATTAAACAAATTACACAAATAATTATGATTGTGATTAAATCATTGCACTGCAATCAATTATTTGTGTCTGTCTTTCCCCACTAAATACTAAAAGTCCTTCAAAGCTATATTAAATTCATCTTTATATCTCCGGCATTCAACAATGTTTGGTGTAAAAGAGATACTAATAAAAAATCTTAACTAAAGAAAAGGAAGGCTTAATTAATGAAGGAAAGTCCTGGAGAAGACAAGAGTGGATGAGATCATGAATACTAATGAGAAAAGTAAGCTTGAACAAGAGAAGGAACAGCTCTTCTACTAAAACAGCTAAAGGAAGGTAGGAAAGGAGAGTGTTGATGAAGATGTGTTTAAAGGTAGAGAAACAAGTTAAGGGAATTCAGGTCTGATGGCTACCATTTTTGAAACACAAAGCAAGATCATCTACTGAGAATAAGGAGGTGGAAGGTGGATCAGGCAGACTTCCCCCTATCCCCACCTAAGCCATTAGGCAGCTAAAGTAGACAGTCATGGATGGCTCTTCCTCCTCCTCTTCCTCTTCCTGTACCTCCACTTTCACCTCCTCCTCCTTCTCCTTCTCTTTTCTCTTCTTCCTCCTCTTCCTCTCCTTTTCCTTCTTCTTTGTTTTTTTGGCACCCAAGATCCAAATACTCTTCCTATTTGGAGGGAATCCCTATTGTGTATATTAGCAGAATACAATGTCCTCTCTCTCATTAAGTAAGCCAAAGAGGATAGATCTTCCCTCTCCCAGTCTTCTGGTGGCGAAGGAACCTACATGTGACCTAGGCTCTGTCAATTGGATGTTCTTATGCAAGATTTTGAATCTTAAGGAGGTAACACAAAAATGCAGGGACGATTTTTAAATTACCTATGGGGATGGTGGAAGCAGTAACAGCAAGAATTTAGTAGCAGTGGTCCAGGGGCAGTGGTATCAGCAGTGGCACGTTAACCAGATTGTCCTTGTAGCCTGACCTTAGCTGGGGTACACGCTGCTGAACCTCCTTGGTTCTTTGCCCATTGTCCAAGCTGGTTCCCCAGCTTCCCTGTTGATTTTGTGAGCTCTCTGCTGTCTTCTAAGAAATTCCTTTTCTACTCACATTAGCCAGAATCAGTTTTGTTTGACTGATAAAATGGGAGGAAGGAGGGGAGAGAAGGATCATGGAAAATAGAAGTCTTGAGAAGATCCAAGAGCAAGTAATTTATATGTAAAGAAGCAGAGCACCATTGGAAATCTCAGAGATTGTGGTTAGTCAATAGAATGAAAGAGTAAAGATTTTAAATGTCTCACAGGATCTAGCCATGGGAGTAGGATGTTGAACAGGAGTGGAAGTGCAGGTCACCGACGTGGAAAAGAACAAGACATTACGAAACTAGTGTGTTGGATGGGTGGTCCACATGGTCACTGAAGTCATCCAGAATGATGGTGGAATTTGGGATGGACAGAAAACCGCAAAATAAGTGCCAAAGGCTTCGACCAACAAAGAGTAAGCTAGAGGGAGACTGATAAATGACAGTGACAAAGAGAGAAGGAGAATAAGATGGGACAAATTTCAAAAGTAGAAGAATTTTTATATTGTTATATAAGAATGAAAGAGCAATAATTTGGAATTGGAAGTGGGCTGACTCAACTTACTACTTGAAGACAAAACGACATGAGACAATGAAGGGCCCTTACTCAAGATGGCCCCAAAAGAAATGGTATTCCAGAAGGAAATCCATGATTAAGTTAATAAAAAAGAGATGAGCGAACCTTCTATGAAAAGAGTATTTGTAAAGAAGTTTATTTACATTAGAATTAGCCTGAGGCTCCAAAGGACTCCATGGAAAGTGGTGAGAAGAAAGTCAGTAGGAGGATGAGACAGGACAGGTAAAGAAGGTCAGAGCTCTATAGAGAAGGGAATATAACAAAAGATAATTGACCAGAGCTGTCCACATACGAAACAGAGGTCAAACAGCTACTGCTGAACATAAGTATACTGAATAAAATTCATTTTTAAATACAAAGACAATAATCCTACAGAATATTTATCCACTCTTTTACCTCAGGCCTAGGCTCCCAAGTCTTTCCCAGACTTAGGTTCAAATCTATGTTCTCTGGTGAGTTCTTGAACAAGATACTTGATCTCTTTAAGGTTCAATTGGGAGTAGCAGTTCCTTTCAGGATTTTAAACACCAAATGAACAACACATGGCTATCACAGTGCTTAGAACCTGTAGGCACTAATAAACGCTCACTAGACTATGAAATTCTTAAAGGCAGAAACATGGCAA